GGCAATATGCTGACTCTCTGTAAACCGCTTAGAGAGGCCTGAAAGGCCTATGAAGCGGTATATAAGTCTACTGCTATTGCTATTGCTATAATGGATGGAAACTGACCAAGGAGAGATTCAACCTAGAAATAAGGAGGAACTTTCTGACAGTGAGAACAATCAACCCATGGAACGGGAGTTGCCTTCGGAAGTTGTGGGAGCTTCATCACTGGAAGCTTTCAAGAAGAGACTGGACTGCCATTTGTCAGGAATGGTGTAGGGTCTCCTGCTTTGGGGGGGCGGCGGGGGTTGGAGTAGATGACCTACAGGTCCCTTCCAACTCTGTTAATCTGTAAACCTGTAATCAGGAGCTGTGTCTTCAGCCTGGATTCTATCTCTTTTCTGACTCTGCAGGTATCGGGTACTCGATCTTCTCCCATAGCAACCTCAGCCGTGTGTTGTCGAGCAAAACGCCTCCTCCGCTCTATCTGGGGGCTGACTCCCGTCGGGTGGAAGGACAACTTTCTGCAAGCAGGAACAATCTAGCATCCACTGTAAGTAACTCAACAATATCCTTCTGCTTTGGGGGATAGATGGCAATAGCACTTAGACTTATATACGGTTTCATAGTGCTTTGCAGTCCGCTCTAAGCGTTTGACAGAGTCAACCTACTGCTCCCTATTGAGACCCACTGGTATAAAGGATTTGTTTAAAGATAGCAACCTTTGCTTGACAACCACAATCTTCGCTTAGTAACTACTGCTAAAAAAAAGTCATAAAATCAGACACGGTTATGTGCTGACCCGCCTAATGAACACAACTAGAATTGTAATTCTGGACTCAATTACCGTCGTAAGTCAAGGACGGCGTTCTTACCCAGCTCCCCAAACAGACAAATCCTCTGAAGGTAACTCAAAGATTCCTTTATTAGGAGTGCCAGCAGCCCCGGCAAAAAGTTTCTCTCTTGCCACAGGCTAACAAGTCCATCTGGCAGGGAGATGAATAGTTGTCTGCCACATCTATTTATCTCCCCACCTACCCCGCCTGCCTTTTATCCCCAGAGTGGGTGGGGTTTTACTAGCAGCGGTGGCTCTTCCATCCCAAGGATCGGCCCATGGATTTCCACTGCTCTCCTCTCCTCTGTCTTCTGCGCATCCACGCATCAGGCACTGGACTCAACTGTTCCTCATCAGCCACTTCCTGACCTGGGTGCTGTTGACTCTCCATCTGCAGGCTGACGGATGGCCCAGGCTCTGCCTCTGTCTCTCTCCCTGCAAGCTCCATTCCCTCTTCCCCTTCGGAGCTCTCAGGTTGCCTTGATGGTGGCCCTGACTCCCATGCCTCCTTCTCTTCTGATTCGGCTGCTGGAGGGACCGCGGTCGACAGGCCACAAAAGGCGGCCTGTACTGGTGTGGTTGGAGGAGCCACGTCGCGATGTTACAATGTGCGGTTCCGATACTCTGAGACCGCTGTTGACACTTTTGCCGCTGGGCCAATGGACCTAAACTGTCCTGTAGAGATGGTGATCGGGAAGACAAAGCCTTGCTGGTCTCAGAGATATCACAAAATCACTGATAGAACAAGGGAAGTGCTTCAAGCCCGCAGTAAACAGGCAACCCATAGGCTGATGAAATCGGGATGCTCCGGAAGCGAAAAGAGAAAGTGTATAACTTAAAGTGTATAATCTAATATGAACTATAAGTAATGACTGTGGAAGAAATGCATGAAAGT